AATTTATCAATCATGAGAGTTCCAGCCATCATTGGAAGCGCCATGACTCTAGTTGTTCTTCAATCACCCAACTCGGCCAACGCCGAGGAGGAGCCAATCCTATCTCTCAGTACGGATAGTTCATTCCATTTTGAGGTTCTTGTCTCTCTCGGCGAAGCTCTCTATGGAGGTTCCGACCTCGCGCCTGTTTTGGGCGCTGCGAAGAACATCACGGCCGGCGACTTTGAGAGCTTCTCCCAAGCCTTCAAGGAGCTGGCATACAAAACCAAAGACCAAGCTCTGGATGAAGAAGCAAACTATGACCCGGTCAATGTTCGAGAGACGTGGTTCTCCGCTGCAACATATTTCCGCCGCGCCGATTTTTACCTCCATAACAACTGGACCAACCCCTTGATCAACACTCTCTGGGACGAGCAGACAGCGGCATTCGACAAGGGGCTGAGCGCCCTTCCCGTCCCCGGTCAACGCCTCCAGATCCCAGCGGATAACTTCACGGTCGAGGCAATCTGGTACGAGCCCGTCTCTCACCGGTATGCGAACCAAAGTAGCAAGCGTCCCACCTTGATCCTCGGAAACGGCTATGATGGTGCGCAGGAAGACCTCTACCATACTGTTGTTGTCCCAGCCCTGGCTCGAGGCTGGAACTGCTTGACATACGAGGGTCCAGGCCACCCAACTGTCCGCCGCAAGCAAAATCTTGGATTCATCCCTGATTGGGAGCGTGTTGTCACCCCACTGGTTGACTACCTGCTCAAAGACAGATCCAATGTCGTAGACAAGGAAAAGTTGGCCCTCTTTGGATTTTCCTTTGGTGGTTATCTCGCTGCTCGCGCGGCTGCATTTGAGCCGCGCATCTCCGCGGTAGTATTGGACGGCGGCGTGTGGGACTGTTACGAGGCTTTCTCACCCAACCTATCCCCGGAGCTCAAAGAACTCTTTGATTCGGGAAACAAAGAAGCCTTCGACGAGGCGGGGAGAGGACTACTTGACAATCCTCTTGTTCCGTCTCAGGCACGCTGGGGTTTGGCCCAGGGCATGTGGGCGTTCAACACGCAGTCGCCTTATGATTTCATGCAGGCGACGAAGAAGTACGCGGTCAAAGATTTCATCACGCAGATCAAGGTCCCCGTTTTTGTTGTTGACGCAGAGAGCGAGGGGTTCTTTTCCGGCCAGCCGCAGAAGGTGAAGGATGCTCTTGGGGATTTAGCTACATTGCATACCTTTACGGGCTCTGAGGGCTATCATTGCCAGGCAGGAGCTTTCTCTTCCCTAAACCGAGTTATGTTTGGGTGGTTGAACAAGGTGCTTCCTAAGTAAGAATACTCTTTTAATCTGAGAAAAGAGATATATTTATTTATAGTAAACAGTCCTTCTTCCAACTAATCTGTACGGATTATATCATGCCTCAGTTCCAATAGTTCCCCACCTACTATTAACAGTAGTAGTGATCTGTTAAAGCCTTCTCAAGACTCCGTGATTGCATGTCTGAAGTACCTAGACGCCGCATAGACAGACCGTATGCCCGCTCAAACCATACCCTGGCATCACGCCACCCACAGCGATTCTGATGGTCCAATCCGATCTGCACCAAATGATCTACAAGCAGACGGACATTTTCAGAGTTCTCGCCAAGCTTGCTAGGCACCAAAATCAATGCTTGCAGTGTACTGGCTGTCCAAGTCAGAACTCTCTTCGCTCTATCCGGGTCTTGGTTCTGAAGATGCAGTGCTGCTAGCTCTCGGGACAAAAGAAGCATGTCTCGTAGCTCCGACAATGCAAATTCCCGAATGAACGCGGCCAGCGAATCCCTCGACTTCTTGCACTCCTCTTTTGCAGCATCGTGGCTTCCCATGATCACATAATGACGAATCAAAGCGCACCTGGCGAAAATCCCTAGGGACTTTGATTTAGCAGCTTCAGAATTGTAGACAGCAACCATACTTTGGAGCATCTCCTCAATCCCTTCTATTCCGGCAGTAGACCAAAGCTTGAGAAGTCTTAACTGCTGGCGGACTTCCATTAGATCGTCAGACTTTCTAAACAGCAAGTCAAAGACTGATTTATCAAGGGGTTCTGCCATTTGGTTCTCAACATATTTGTTGCATGCTATTCGAATTGTTTGTTGAGGGCCATAGCGATCCCTACAGGCTAGATAGAACATGAAACCAAGACACCTTCCGTCGTGGGCCCTTCCAGATTCAAGAAGCCAGTCTATCACGCGGAGATAATGATCCAAGGTTTCAGGGTTCCAGAGGCCTTTGTCGTGTATGTAGGTCGCTGAACTCCAATTGACGACCGCGTCTGCCATGCCCAGGTCTCCTGTTTTCACATACGCATCAGAAAGACACCATGCTGTACTCCGTATATGGGCTTGTGGCGGGGTAGAGAGGGAGTGGAGGCCAGTCAATGATGCTTGAAGATTGGTTATCGCGTTGCCATAGTCCTTTTCAGCCATTTGCCTGACAGCTCGGCTCTTTAACACGAGTAATTCATTCATCGTGAGTCCTCTTCCGTCCGAGAGGAACGAATTTGTATCAAGAGCACTTCGAGCGTCTACTCTGAAAGGAAAAGGAGGAGGCATGTCACTGTTCCAGACGTACTCGGGCTCCCATTTTGAGGGGGGACTAGCATTTGCCGTGTGGTTTGGCATGATCCCCCTTTCCGGAGTTCGCATGATAACTTGACTGGAAGGTTGCGGAGTCATCTGTACTGAGAATCTATTAGATCAGGTGTTTATAACTTCTTGCTTTTGAGAGATTGATAGAGAAAAAAAAACTTACTGTCTTTGTCGCTCTCACTTGCCGTCATCCTAGAGTCAGCTCTCAAGGTGCGATCCACCTCGACCTTCCTGGTCCCAACCACGCGTTCCGTGTCACGTCCTTGCCAGGACTTTGACTCCTGCAAGTTCTTCTGAATGATGTTCTTCTTGCGATATTTGGCGTAGCCCCAGACCTTCAGTCTATCCTTGAATAGTTTCGGGCTATCACTCCGTAAGCATCTGCGGACCTAACTTTGAAGAAGGAAACATACGACGCGTTAAAGCCCCATTTTTCTTTCATAGTAGATATAGTTTCGTCTAGGGTGAGATTCTTCCTGATAAACAGATCATATATTCTCTCTTTTTGAGCCATCCAGTCAGCATCAGTCAAGTTCCAACGTTTCCTAGTCGATGTAGATACCGCATGATTCCGACGTAACTCAATACTAGGGGCAGGCTGCAGCTCTCGAAAGATGGAGTTGTAGTCTTCCTCTTGGACCGATGATGCTGGTGGTGGCTGGGTGGCATCTCCATCGATCATAGGTCCGTAGTGTTCCCCAACCATTGCGAAGCCTTGGAAACTTCCAATGGGCCCCCAAGGTGCGACCTCCATATTTTGGTCAAAGAGGGCAAAGGAACGGGCAACATCAATGGGTAGAAGGAATGGGGAGTGTGAGACCACAGCTAGCTGACGTAGTATTAATACATTTCCAACTCGCACCAGATCCACTACACCTAGGTAGCATCAATGAAACACTTTTCGGGGTGCACAAAAGGCACATCTTTACGGGGGAGGGCGAGGCAAACCCGTAAGGCAGAAGTGAGGCGTCCTAGAACGGGCCATTCGAAACCAATCAGACGTCTGCACGAAAATTCCTGGAAGTTCCGCCGCCTGCACAGCCACCCAAAATTCTTTTGTCGCTCCAATAAGACGTCGCCACGAAAGTTCTCAAAAATTCATGCAACGAGCATTCAGCTGCAGCTCGTTGCGGAAGTGGTTGCGAGTAGGCTCGCACTGTAGCAAGTACCGCAACAGAATCAGTAGTCCTTCCAGATCAGGGCAGTTTGTACCAGACAACTCTGCCTGCAGCTATCTTTGGAACGGGGATTTTGTTTGGAAAATCCCAAGAAGTTCTCTCATGGTTTCTGGCCACATGGGAACTCATCCGATGTATAGAATTTTCGGGATTTTATCTTGCTTGGCCAAAGGTCCCCCAATGTTACTTTTCCGATCTCGTTTCGTCAGTACCTACTGCAGATTCCAAAATTCCCAAAAAGTTGAGCCCGCCGACTATTGTTCTTCCATTCATTCTTTTCTGATCGTTCCCCTTTATAATATCACGAGATATTTGTTGTTATTTAGGCAGTCGAGAAATGTATAAATAACCAGGGCTTCCTCTCGTGTTGTTCTTGAATGCCTATCCCTTCCGTGAACATAGCAGTGAAAAGTCAGGCACTTTGAAGTGCATCAATATACCAACCTTGTCTTTTCGACTGACGCTCTGCGTTTCATTTATCATTATCGAATTTGTATTGCTGTCCGAAAGGTGCTCGTTTACATTCAACAATGACGGAAAAGGAACCAAAGACATCGTCAACTGAAGCAACACCGTCCTCTTCAGAACAATCTATAGCGGATCACACACGAAAGGTCAGTCACCTGCTTAGATCCTCTGCCATAGCACACAAATATCTGACATATGCAAGACACCAAAATCCTCAGGTGTAATCACCGAGCACTCATTGCAACAATTAAACGGCAGCTATCAACCGGTGTTCATGATGGATAGGTGGCTGGAAGAAACCCCAAAACAGGAACAGTTTCATGGCTTGTATCTGGATACGCCAAAGCCGTAATCATACTTTAACCAATGATACACGAGCATGCGCAATGGATGCAACAGTTGGATGAACACGGAAGGTGTGCAGACAAAAGTATACAGCGCGAATACGGGCTGTCTTCTTACTGTATACAGTCAGCAGTAACCCAAGCCAGACAAAATTCTACAGAAGTTCCTGAAATGTCCTAAAAATCCTAGAATAGTCTTTTGGTTCACCAAATGTTGCCTTGGATCTTGTAGACAGGATGTTAGCGGATGTTTTATTTAAACTCAGCTCTCCCAGCATAAACTAAGACGGTCACTTCTTAAGACCCATACCCATACTCCCTCCTATACACAGTCAGCTCATTTCTACCAAACACCGTTGGATCTGTTCCGTCTTCAGCCTGTTTGTCTTCATCATGGATGAGGACTCGTTCCTTTCAATCTTCGATTCGATCATATCCTATGATCAATATACGCAAGACTTCTTCTCGGCTCACTTGGACGTCGAAAAACCGGACTCAGAGATCAAATGTGAGATTGCCGAGTATGACTGCATCAAAAATACCGAGGGACAGTTAGTTACTGTTCGTAGCGGCTCGAAGCTAGATGTGCTACGCGTGGATGATGAACACGCCATCGCTCGCACTACACATTGGGATACCCATGGGACGAAAGATTTTGTCGCAACAACCATCCAATCGCCCTACATGAAGCAGGCTCTCAGAGCTGTAGTTCCGCAATACAAAAATCGCAACGTGGCCTTCCACATCACATACAATGGTGTACCGAGATTCTTGTTTCATTTTCGTGACAAACTATTCCGCTATGGCAAGGATCTCGAGAAGGGATCTATTGCTCAACGTCATGTGTCGCTCCTTGTCGAGCATATACAAAAAGAACTCTCCGACGCCATTCTTGCTTACACCAGCCATGTTAAGCTCTCATCTTCACCTTCAATAGACTTTGTTCATCTATGGACACTCTTCAAGCCCGATGACCTGGTGTATATCTCTGCATTGTTATCGCCGGACTTGATCGAGTTGGTCGTGAAATATAAGTCGATGTATCAGTCTTGTTCATGCGACGACGCTTCGCATTACTTCAACCATACATGGCAGTTCCTCGGCGATGTCATGGACAGCAACGGCACGTTCTTAGGAACGTGCGCAATTCCAGTGACCATCCGATATTTCGAGGGTTTTCGGGAGATGAGTAAACTCTCATTGCTGCCGCTCCGTCTCCACCCACTCAAAGACGATATTATCACACGAATGACCGCTCGGGGACGAAAATTCACGGAGTTACAAGGATGTCATTATCGGCACTACACTGGCATGGCCCGGCTGCTATGGGGAAGCAGACATTCCAAGCTGTTCGAGGTTGGCCCGAGCAATTCCGAGATATTAACCATGGTACGAGAGATTTAACTAGCGATACAACCTAGAACAAACACGAGAGTTACTAACACAAGAGCTTATATTAGGTAAACGGCGGCATCATGATAGATCCTGCTACTTATAGGGAAACTCACCCTGAAATCTTGGATAACATGCTCTCTTTGACTTCCACACTCAATCAGGAGCAGCTCATGATGTGTCGCGGTCGCATTCCCGCATTTTCATTCAGTGAAAGAAAATGGGGACTTTTTGAAGTGACTAGAGTAGGTCCCATGCAATTAGATGGTTCGATATTCCACACGTCATTGATGTTGGACAAGACATACAAAGACATGCTCTTGTCGCTCGTCCAAATGCAATCACCCAAATCTGGAGAAGCGTTTGGCGATATCATCAAAGGCAAATCTCAGGGTGTTGTATTTCTACTGCACGGTGAGCCAGGGGTGGGGAAGACTCTAACTGCAGGTGAGTTGTAGAATTCAACGTTTGAAATGATGCGGTCACTAATGCTGAATGCAGAGACTATAGCAGACTCTTGCGGACGGCCTCTTTTAAGAATTAATGCCGACAATTTGATCAACTCAAAAGAATCGGTAGAAAATGCTTTGGCGAGAGCCTTGAATCTATCCGAGAGATGGAAAGCCGTGGCTCTGATAGACGAGGCCGATATATTCCTTGAACAACGAAGTCGATATTGCAACACAAGAAACTCATTCGTCACCGGTTTGTTGTCCATATATTCCTATTTGATAGATATATGCCTAACCCGTATCAAAGCATTCCTTCGGATTCTCGAGTATTATCGAGGTATTCTGTTCTTGACCACTAATCGCGTCAATTCGTTTGATCGGGCGTTGAAATCGCGAATTCAAGTCGCCATCCATTATCCAGCTCTCGACGCCAAGAGTCGAAAGGAGCTTTGGCAAATATTCCTCTCCAAGGCATCTGCCACAGGTCAGCCAAAAGACATCTGGGCGGACATTGCAGAGAAGTTCGCCTCGGAAGTACTCAACGGGCGCCAGATAAGGGATTCTGTTCGAATCGCCCAGGCGTCGGCGCTAGGGGAGGGCACCGAAATTGAAACACGCCATCTAAACAATGCTCTCCAGTTATTACGAAAGTTTGAGGATGAATTTGAGAAGGGGCGGTTAGAGGAAGATCGGCCACGAAAACGGCCTCGACGGGCAAGATATCGTGACGAGGATGAGTACGGAGATGAAGATGAAGATGAAGATGAAGATGAAGAATACTAGGCCTTGAAAGACCAGGTTTGAGCGTAACATAATATATATAATATTATAGCTAGATACTAATAGCTCTAACTGAAAAAGCAAGATAACAGGAGGTTAGTCGTGCGAGCTCATACTGCCTTGAGATAACTGCTATGTTTATTCCCTGGATCTTCTAGATGGGCAAATTTGGTTTCAACTTTAATCCTTTTTTTCCAACTATTGTTAGTGCTTTTATACATTTTTGATTTTTCTCTCTATTTGTTCATGTAGTGTATGTCTTCGTCCTTCTCCTCGTGTTTGTGTTTGTTCACGGGGTCTCGGGTCCATTGTGATTGTCCCGTGCATTGTGGGAATCTGCCCAGGCTAGAACATTTGATGATTCAAAAAGCACGTGAGAGGCCACTGTAGGATGAGAAGAGATCTCCTCTCGCAGGATTCAGAATGATACACGCCTCTCTCCTAAGTGTATTGATAGCTGATGTAGGTAGGTACACTGTGCTCAGGAATGATGGCAATCTCTTTGGGCGCACTTGTTGATCTATTCGTGTTGATATTCTCTCTTCTTAAGGGTAGATAAATTCATGGCCTTCTCACAAATCCATGTGATCTTCTCGAGCAATAGCGGCGCAATTCCTCGTTAATGTGAAACACGCGAAGTGATGCCTAATCTAGAACCCTTCGATTTAACTCAAGACGCACATTTGGTTCGACTCTACTTCGTTGAGGGCAGAGAAAATTTGCCCAAATCGGTCTCGCTCTTTATAAGATCACAAATCAGTCCACGGGTACACGTTCAAATAAAAGGCGGCGAGAGGTCAGTACCAGTCAACCAACAGTCATTAAAACAGAACAAGAGATATAGAGTTTTTCTACTAGCGCTCGCTCGAGGAAGCCTCGGATGGAAGAGCATCTTTAGGTTTATCTAGGGTAGGCAAAAAGCTCAATCATGGGTTGCTGGGATTTGTATCCTGGTAGTAGGCTGATATGAAATGTGCAAGGCGCAAGAACATTGAGCCAAGCCTACCCACAGACCATGGGGCTAAGCCTCATGGATGATCCGAGCGACTGCGGTATAGGGTTTTATTTTGCGAACGGGTGATATGATGGATTCTGGGACAGAGGAATCTTAGAGTCTCGAGGTATATCCGGGGACCGAAGTGATGGGGATGAAGCGGCATGTCGCGACGGTCAGCTCATCTCTTGTGCATCGCCATGACAGCATTACTTGGGTTCTGTCTCAAAGGTAACCAATAGTGTCTACATCCCAAAGACAAATCAGCCACTAGAGGCCCTAGATCACAATGTCTGACTTATGGGGGACCAACGTGCAGACGATAGTTGCTCCAGCCCACTACCAATAATCACACGACCGCTGTTCTGGACCTTGCAGTCAAAATGAGAATTGCCAACACTTGATTCATCGTTTTGGAGAGACCTCTATCTTCCTAGCCACCCGTGATCGCTGAAACACCCCGCAAAGGCTTTGTAGTTCGAGTATGGACACGGTGGGTTGCCTGGTTTTTGGTACACAAACTCGGGGCAAATCCGTCAAACTCGCTCAAGTCCGTCCTGGTAGACAAAGGAGAAGGGCCCGGAATAAATACTCGACCACTGTGCTGGCTACGAGGTTACCTACGTACAAAGATGACAAAGACCTATCAGCTTAGTCTCCATCAGCGTGCATATCATGTCCAGCACATACCTGCGGGTCCGTCTCTTGGTGGCTAGCCTCAGATGATGGGTCAGCTCTAAGCCTTGATGTGGTTTACCCGGCCAGTCCGGTCCCATCATGCTTTGTTTCCTTGCGTGGCTCTAGCCTCTTGAGTTTTCGGTCGATGCACGGGCATCAAAGCTGAAAAATGGCGGTATATCACCTACTCATGTCTCAGGTGGGAATTGACGGTTGTGCTGTTAAATTTCGTCTCAAAATTAATAGACAAGTATGATCAATGATACCCTTTTGAGGCCGTCAGCCTGAGTATTCCGAGGGAATCCCCATTGCTGTCCACTTTAGCTCGAAGGAATCCTTGGGACTTGGATCACCAAGAAGCTAGCTGGGGCGTAGTAGGATTCCTTGTGGATACGAGGCAAGGATAGACAGAGCTATGCCTCAATTATACAAGTCTTACCGGCGTACCAGAGATTAGCGTACATAGAGGTGAAAGATATGCAGACATGTTCACTGCCACCCAAAACCCCACGTATTTAGATGAGAACAAAGAGCTTTGCAGGGCAGAGGCCCATTAAGTATTGGCACAAGTTGAGCAGTAGATACATGCAGAACTTCCACCCTAATTGCACAAAAGCCAACCACGTCGCGCCCCTGTCCATATGGCCATGCTCCCCCAGCAGTTCGTTCCTGAGTTGTAATTTTTATGCTTCCTCAATCCTGGGAGTGCTAGATTCGGGCTGGGAGCCGGGGGCTCGGGACGATGCTAAGCTTACATTGCGGTGGCCTCCTATTCACAAACCCACACAAACCGTCTGACAACCAAATTTCCACCGCTCAAGGGCGATCTCAAGCCACGCTCTCCACCCGTCACCTGGAGCAGCCAGTCATGGTCCTTGCGTGGCTGAAAGATTTGCCCCAAAGCGGGGGTGTCGTGGGCTTTTGCGAGATGGAGCGTCAGCAGACAATAAGCAAGGCTGCATTCACCCATAGCCATCAGCCCAAGCCCACGCTTGGCACAACCCGCCGTCGGGGGCCAAGCTTTGCTCTAGTCTGTGTATTCCACAAGGATGTAAGTCAATACCAAAAGCAAATCCAGCCGTTGGCCTGCCGGGAATTTACGTGGTACAGTTTGCTTGTGCACACTATTACAAAGCTGACGGTGGGCTGGCCAGCTCGCCCTTTCCTACCGATCTGCTCTTCTTTTCCTGTTCATCTTTTCTCTGTGCCTACTTACCCCAATTTACTTCTCCTTTTCTTTAATATTAGTCTCCTCCGTCGTCTTCGATTCTTCGATTGTCCATTGACCAGTGGAGCGGTGATCCAGCAGACTCCCCCACTCCCTCGCCCTTGACAACACTACCAGCTACTTCCACACTGTCACGACGCTGCCATGGTCGGCCCAGCAGTCGAGATTGCAGCAAGGGTGGGCGCAAGCTGCGCTGCCAACGATGGAGGCTCCTTTTACGTATGCGAGGGCAAGGAGGTCGAGTTCATCGGGTGCTGTACCGTCGACCCGTGCAAAACATCCAACGGAAACTGCCCCCGCGAGAGTCTCAGAAACACCACCTACAGCGTCACCTCCCACGACCTGATCCCTGCCCAATTGTGCGTCAGTAGCGATGCCAACGACCAGTGGTGGACGTGCGGCTTCGTCAAGCCCCCCTTCATGGGCTGCTGTGGCATCAATGTCTGCCAGAACGAGGGATGTCCGGCGGACAAGCTGACCAGCGCCAAACTGAACCCCGACTTCGAGAAATCCAAGATCTTCCGGTCCGAGGACTCCAACAGCAACAAGCTTTCCAAGGGTGCGATCGCCGGTATCGTGGTCGGTGCTGTGGTAGGGGGAATCCTCATCATCGCCCTCCTCTTTTTCCTCTGGAAGCGACGACAAGCAAAGAAGAACGCCGAACAACAACAAGCGCAGCCTCGGGGACCCGGTAACAACCAGGAGATGTCCTTCCACAACAACGGCCAAGCCCACATCATGGAGTCGCCGCACAACAAGCTCGTGTCGCCTTACACGTCGACCTACGCCCCCTCGGTGGCCAACACGCACCAGGACTACATGTACCAACCCAGCTCGCCGTCGCCGCAGATGCCGACGGCGCAATGGGGCGACAACGGATACCACCACCACAGCCAGCAGCGCGGCTACGTGCCGAGTATGGTCTCGAGCAACGACCACGGCGACTGGAACAAGCCGCCGCAGCCGTACATGGCACAGGAGCTCCCCTCCGAGGACGTCGTCGTCGAGCTGCCGGAGGACACAGCCCCGGTGCCTGCTCAACAGGGTGACAGGAAGTAGTGATTTGGTTTTGCTTTTTCTCGGCGGGGTTTGCATAGCAAATAATGAGCGTTGTGGCTGGAGCTGAGGACATGGGTGGTGCATTAGACTTTTCAGCTGATGGGTAATTGATTCACAGAGATCGACGGCGTGATAGCATATTTATTCATGGTTAATGCAATTAATTCTGTGCGAAGGACAAAGCACAAATTTGTCTAATACTCAGCTCCTCCCCCTTGACATGTGTTGTAGCAATGGATGAGCACACCCACCCTACGCCATCGAGCATCCTTTCAATTCGTTCACAGGTAAGCCGAGTTGACCACTCGTCACTTCCACTCAATCTCTTTGAGGATAAACATGATGGCTGTATTCTGGATAACCCTAGAAGACACGCTGCTATTGCGAGAGCATCGCGGAAATACTCGCACGAGGTCACTCCTGCTCCAAAGCTCCTCACCCTCAAATGCGAGGAATTTGCCCACCTTGGAGCATAGCTAACTCGTCGCCCTTGCCAGATGGGTAAACGAGCTAGAGATTCCATATCTGGTTCACATAGGGTCTCGTGCCGGACAATCAGGGCCCTCTTCTCACTGAAATCCGCGTGCTAAACTATGGCTGAGACCCTCTTTCTACATATGTAGGGAGCTTCGATTTCTGGTCGATCTGGAAGCACATCACCGTCCCTTGAAATATCTACGAGACCAATGGTGTACCGTTTGTGTTCTATTATCGCACAGTTCTTATGGCCGTATTGCTTCAACGGGGCTGAGGCTGCTCATACCCCCTGGATGAAGTCGACTGATAGGGTCCTCCACCAATCATCAACTCGATTGCAGACATTATGATGTTCAGTATCAAGTTGAGAATCTGCCTTTAGGACACCGCCAGATCGATTCATGGGCAGCTGATGACTTTATGGATGGCTTTTCTGGAAAGCTTCTTTTCTGGTCAACGTGAACTTACTATCGAGTGAAGCTTGTAGGCACTGAACTTAAGAATACGAGGGATCTTGAATGGAACGTTAAAGCAACAATAGAAGATGCCATAACCCGATAGATCAAAACAATGGATACAAGAAATAGCCTTTGCTAGCCGATGGTGTATTTATATGGAAGGGAAAGTTCGCAATTCTTCATACCAATGACTCACTTGCTATCAGGGCCGGCCGTTCGTTGAATAAGTATTTAGGCTACCTTCTTTCACCTGGTTTCATACTCGTCAATCCAAAGACTCAGAATAAAACGAAGACAGGAAGGGATCAGAGAAGATAGCATCAATAGAAATGCCTTTACTCTTTACAAACACAATAAAAGAGAACACGAAGGGGGGAACTTGGGACTCACTTAGACCTTCGCTCCAGATATGCTCGATAAGTCTAGATGAACATGCAGTCCACTGTCGCACGTCCTGAAGCGACAATTGTATCGGCATACTTCTCCCCTAGCTTTATGAGATAACTCCTCTCGTGGATAGAGGCTCCCATGGCCACCTCCTAGCGGCTCTAGAAAGTTGGTATACACTTTATATCTCCCTTCACCTCAATTAAGATCCTCCCCCTCCCCGCTTCAAAAGAGGAATCCCGCGAACACCCACAACCTCTAACGCTCATCTAGCTGGATAAGCGACCGGGAGAGGAGGTCTTAAAATAATATATTCATGTACAAAGGTATACTTCCTTACTATACTACAAAATACCATCCTCGCAAGCTTACGATAGTACTATTAAAGGCGGGATAACCTGAGGGCTTATTTTCTATCGACTAATAGCTGATTATTTGAGAATCCAACAGCTAACAACTATCGATATATAGAGTAACCTACCGCCAATCAAACAGGTAAAGCTGAAAGCTGCACCTAACCCCTGAAGGGGTCGGATAATACCTTCTCTTTTTTAGCTTTGCCTAAAAAGGGAACAAAGTCTATGAATGGACTTTGTTCCTTTTTATGGTTTAGTATTATTCCTCTCCTCCTTAATCCATTCAAGTATTGTCTCTTATCCCACGATACCATATATTATGTCCCTATAGGTTTTGTTTTCATACTATCTCCCTCCAATGGGTGCAGTAATATTCAGCTCCTCCCCCCTTTGTATGTGTTGTAGCAATGGATGAGCACACCCTGCGCCATCGAGCATCCTTCCGTTCACGTGTAGGCCAAGTTGACCACTCATTACTTCCACTTAAATCTTTGGGAATAGAAATCGCGGTTGTATTCCGAATAGTCCCAGTAAACACGCTGCCATCGTGAGGGTATCGCGGAAATACCCTCATCTGATACTAAGCCACTCTTACTCTGAAGCGCCTCGGCCTCAAAATGCGAGGGATTGGCCACCTTCGGGGATGAATAAATAATCGCCCTGACCAGCTGATAAAGCTGACTGAAACAGAACATCTTCTCTGGTTCAGGTTGGGTCTCGCGTCGGCCAATGGGGCTAACCTTGTCCTTAAAATCTGCGCGCACAACCATGGCCGAGACCTCTCCAGGAAGCAAGCTTCGATTTCCAGTCGGGTTGGAGGTCAAGCCAGGAATTTGCCTCTAGGCAACCGTTAAATTGATACATGGCCGCTGATGGTTTCCGTTGATAGTGATTCTTGCCAACCTTGTTATCCGGCCCAAACTACCATCAGATCAAACCTGTCGGGCCTGAAAAATGTAACGATTAAATTTCGCTTCGAAGTTCCGCTCCTCGAGTAGCGAACTCCGTAAGCATCCATACCTTTGCTCTAGACGCACCGGATAAAGCTAGACGAACATGCGGTCCACAGCCGCACTCCCTTATGCGAAACTGATATTGGCGCACTCCCCCAGCTTCTGAAGGAATTCTTCTCATGGATAGGAGGCGCACCCACGAGCTTCTAGCGGCTCTAGTAAGTTGAGATGACGGTTATGGGATATACATTGAGATACTTTTCATACATACTTGAAGTCTTGTCCGTATAACCCCTTTCACCTCAATAAAGATTCTCACTGCTTCCAAGAGGACGTCCCGTATTAACAAAACGGACTTTGATAATACCATCCCGTATCCAACCAGGGATCTCTTCTCTTACTACCCTAGGAAGAAGAGAAAATTACCCGATTTCGAATCTCATTGACACCAAATTCTCACCAAGAATCCATCGGCCAGATAATACTGGATCGTACTGTTCACTTATCCTCCCCTCTGTATCGCTTCAGGATATTAAGCCAATGCTGTAGCTCTTGTAGCAGCGTGAACGCCATAGTCTTTCTTGTTTGCTCCTTGACATATTGATGGAAACACTCTCCCCCGAACCCGGCAGTTGCTTCTCAATCCTAAAATGCTGTTTTGGGACCACTTACTATCCCCCATGTAGTGAAGACTTGTACAAAATAAATAAATCTCGGAGTTTAAAACAAGACACGCTCTTTACTTTTTATTATATTTTCTTCAAAGTGCCCGCCTTCAAAAGACGAGCGTTTCCGTGCTTTTGGTTTACAATGATTTCAGGAGCAAGCCAACCCAATAGGTTTTATGCCCCTTAGAACAGGTAGCTTCCCTCTGTTTTCCAGTAGGTGGACTGGCGCCTTAATTGTTCCTAGCATGATGTATAAGTGTTTGCGTTTAGTTGGTTGTCCTCCATCTATTCTCCTCTTGTTGGCAGGGCTGCCCAGGGATCCTCTCTCAAGACACTCAGATTCTATGGAATTAACCTAGACCAACTCACACTCTCTATAGATCATCCTAGAATGACTATAAGACGTGTCCATATGTAGCTTTTCATACCTCTAATAAATCATATAAGTGATTGGAAATGTAGGTAAACTGGTGGTCTAGTGAAGGGGGATTCGATCCTTGAACGTTTGTCATCAAAGTCAATCCGCTCTTTTACACCAGATTCGTTCATGTGCGCGATTGTCTCTCTAGGAGTCGCCCTTGATGAATTCATACTGCTGGAGATGACTGAGTTCCTGGGAGGAGAGCGAGGCAACTGTTTTACATCCTTTCCAGGCGGACATTGTTTTCTTTTCATGCAGCATGTAACCTAGTCTCTTCAAAGCTGTACCATGCATTGGTATCAGCGTTTGTGCAGTCGTTCGATTTCAATTACATCAGGGAGACGGTTGCTCTCCACGGCACCGATTAGATGTGAATTCAATCCATCCAAGGGTTTAACTGGATTTTTTGAGCGATTGTGTTCCTCATGTACCGCTGTCGCTCATTTGCACTTTGGAGAGAGTAGTGGTCTAATTGAATATCTCTAGAAGCCTGACCCTAAACAGCCGTAAAAGCTGACCAATGTGCAGTGTTGCGAGGATCGGTGTCTGTACGACTCAACATCCGCGTCACAGCTCACTCAAGGGCAGCCCCACATAAAAACTGGTATTCAAATACAGCCACGTTCGAGCCAGATTACTATTAGTCTCACTGGCTGTGCCATGGCTATGTGGCTCACCGTATATTGGGGACTAAACATTGACCATGAACAGCAAGATCGTTCGAGCCAGCAGGGGACACGACACGCAGACAGGGGGGTCAGCTGTGACAAACTGGGCATGCACACGAGGCAGTCTGAGTTTGATAGGCCACGCTGCTCCCATTGATCTAAAAACATCCATTCCTCCAAGCCACAGCGGTTGGTGCCGATCCAAGCCCCCATCCCCCTCCCCGCGCACTTCTACTTGGCGGTCTAATAAATCAGCCGTAGATCGGGGGACTTTAGGCCCGCCAAGTACCCCTCACCTCAACTCTTACTCCCTCCCGTCCTCTACCGCTCCCGCCATAGGCAGCACCGAATGGCTGAAGTATGAGGTAGCTAGTTCTGGCCCATAGCACTGTCGTGAGTTTTCTCTTCTTCTTCTTTCCAATGGGAGACGTTAGGTTGCTCATCTCAAAGAGAAGAGAGAGAGGTCAGATCCCCGCCGAGCCTCAACGTGGAATTGTATTCGTTGCACTTATTTAACGGTGGACAGTGATGCGCACATACATACGCGCTTAGGTACCTACTAGGAGTACGTTAAGAAGCTCGCAGCAATCCAATGGTGCTACGCTGCCTGTTTAGGGGGCACTCCACTAGTGCCAAGCTTGTTTGGTTAAGCAAATCTACTCGGTAAAGCGACCGCCCTGCTACTGAGTCTGCACTTTTAGAGGAAGAGTAAAATGATTGTGTTGGCACAGATGTGGCTATGTGTGAAACGGCTTAGTGATGACGGTTAGGTGTTGTGAATCTGTGCCCGAGACTTAATTAGATAAGAGGCACTTCTAACGGGAAGTAGGTAGGGCTGCCAGGCACTTAGATATGGCAGGGGAGTCTACAGGTGGTGTGTGGCCACCTCGGTGCACCTATGTATGTATGAAATACCTTGCCTGAATTATGGAGGACGTGTGGGTGGGTAAGAAACTCGGCCATCCTAGATCCTCGATGCCGCTCCTTGCCGCCGTCCCAATTGTTTTGTCCATTCGGGCCGGCCGGCACTCCGAACCACTCATCCTCCGCCAAATGTGAGCTGAGGTGGTTGGTGGGTCGTTAAATGTGAGCATTTACACGACTGCCATGTATTCGTGTATTTCATCGTCCACAAGTGCGTAGTAAGGTCTTGCTAGATATTGTCCAGGAGACTGGATACTTAATACGCCGGGATTTCTTTTCGGCTTTTTCAACGTAGCAATATATAAATGCCTGGCTATCAAACCCAATATCGGTCCCATAGCTTCTCCTGGCCCAAAGCACAATCTCAAACCATCTTCTCCTGTCTCTTTTGTTTCCTCTCTCGCTTGCTTTGCCCTTTCTCCTATCCCAAAAGCCTGATTCTGGCGTGACCCTAAAGCGACCCACGGCTCTAGTCCATGCGCGCGGAACACGACCCAGGAGAAGTCTATTAGGAGCCCTGGCCAGAACAGTTCCAATCAATACACTTGATACTTCCGTTATGACCGGAACCTTTGCCTGCCCCTTCTATCGGAAGGATCCCTTTCGGCATATGGACTGCGTCAACTATACGTTGACACGGTTCAGCGACGTGAAGCAGCATCTTCAGCGACGCCATCAAGATCATTTCATCATTCGATGCCCTCTCTGCAATGAATCATTCGATTCATTTGCTGAGCGCGACAAACATGCCAATTCATCTGCATCTTTCCCATGCTCCCCCTCTTTGGAGCATGCCCAATCTGGCCTTGAACAGAACCCACACTCCAAATTGAAGGCTCGCTCTTCACCTCGCGTGGCGCCTTCGGAAATGTACTTTGATCTTTGGGACACTCTCTTTGACAAAGAGACAAGACCATCGAACCCTTACCGTGGGCCCGTCTTCTTGGAGACCATCGCTGCTCTTCGAGACTTTTGGGAGACAGAGAAGTGGTCGATTATTACAAATATCATCAATGGATGCCCCCAGTTGCTGATCATGGAGGAGCAATTATTCTCTCCTACGTTGATGAATATTTTTGACCGCCTGTTAACTCGCTTTGAGGATTTCGTGAGAGACCGATGCTCAGTTACTAGGGCTGTCCAGATTCCCGCCCTCACGGGTCACCTCGACGAGCCAAAGGCAGACCTTGATGTCGGGGAGCCCTACCCTAAGGATTTCAAATGTCGTGTAGACCCCAAATTCAACCAAGGGATTGAATTATTCGGCAATCAGCTCCCAAATCCTGAGTACCCGACGAGTCTAGCCCCACAAATACATTACCAGGATCTAGCTGCATCTGCGAACAACGGAACTCTTCGCGTCCTAGAGACCTCAACAAGTAGTGCAGATGATGCACTCAATGAAGACCAAGATTATCAGGCATCAGGAGAAGCATCCATCGGGGCTTTTCTTCAAGGTGACCCTGACAGCGAGTTTTCTTTCGGTGACAACAATGTTTCCTATTTTGATTGTTATTAGATAAGGGCTGGGATCGAGAGGATAGCGAGTGGCCTGAGATGAATTCACTTTGTCCAATGATATGCGTTAGGCCTTATTGTTGGTAGAAACTTGCCTTGTGGATTTGCCGCCTTCCGAGGTTTATGGTTGATGAAAGCGCTGGAGCAACATAGGATTATGTGGGATATTTCGTTATAATCTCCTTTTAAGTACCAAATTGTTTTTATTGTTAAAGAAACTCTAGTGATATCGGTGCTGTGAATGAATGAATTCAAGAGATGGGCCGGACAACTATCTTGTAAGCTGGTATGTTATAACGACACAGCAACCCCAGGATATCTCAGTACCCAGTAAAAGATAGATATCCCCTTCTTCGATTAGTTCCAGCTTATAAGGATACGGTATAGCGTTTGACTGTCTGCCATGCAAACATGGAAAAGAAATAGAGGCTTCCCACTAGCACCAGCATGGCCTGGATGATTATAAACCCTGACATCATTGGGAGGCTTACTTCTCCCGTCTCTCAGATTTAGGCCAGCTTCACCGTCTGCGGCGTAGAGAAAAGGTCCTTGGGGTCGAATTTGCTCTTGAGCGTCTGAAGCCGGGCAAGGTTGGATCCAAAGTACTTTTGCTGGGGGTTCTTATGCCCGGTGCTGGCGATGCCATTGTAAGCCAGGAACGAATCGGACTTGTGGCCCAGGAGGATTTCGAACCCCTTGTTGATAAACTCAATAGCCTCGGTAGATGTTGTCTCAGTGGTCGAAACGTATCCATCGAGAGAGTATAGAAGATCACGATGAGGGAACGCAGTGGCGTCGGCTGCGACGTCGTTGACTGCTCCGCCGTACAAGTCAAACTGGAATGACCAGCTGCCGAGGTTGGAGTCGCCACTGAAAACATGGCTTGCGAATTCATCAATAGCGCTGTTGCTTGAGATGGTTGTTGGTGTAACCATGGCGTTGATGATGTAGAAATGCTGAGGGGAGGCTGCAGGAGACGCAGTACCGGTCAATCCGCTCATGAGAGTTGACCACGACACTCCAGTCTTGATAGTTGCGGACAAGGTGCTGGGTAGACGTGATTGAAGTCCGAGGGCCTCGAATGCAGATTGGTTGCCAAAGAAAGCGCCGCTCCAAAGGAAAGTGGTTTCGGAGAACCTCGTCACTCCTCCAATTTCACGAGGTAGAGTGGTGTCGCGAAGAATATCATGGTAGCCTTTGAGGGCCTCGACGAGAACGGCGGAATCATTGGAGGTGATGGTGTAAGTGAATGTAACAAGTTCAGACGGCTCGGGAAGCGTGTTGAACTTGAGCTCGGTGACGAGGCCAAAGCCAGCTCCTGCCCCACGAACAGCCCAGAACAGATCGGAGTTGGCTTTTTCGGATGCGCGAGTTACGGTTCCATCAGCGAGAACAATCTCAACTTCAGCCAGGTGGTCAATCATGGCCCCGTGTGATCGGGAGCCATAGCCCAAGCCACCCACGAGCGAAAGACCGGAAACACCAATCTGACCGCCGGAAGCTTGAGGCAAAAAGCGGTTGCCATTATCGTGAAGTCCTTTGAACAGCTGAGCGAGGTTGTTTCCAGGTCCAACTGTTGCGAGTCCAGTTGCTGTGTCAACTGCGAAGTTTTGGAAGTTTTCAAAGTCGACAATAATGGTACCGTTGGCGCCCCCAAGTCCTACAAACCGTTGTCAGTCTCAATTTAATTTTATAAATAGAAAACATAGGAGATGCAGTCATACCCCTGTTGGCAAAGTCAAGATTTCCACTTCGGCCCTGGACCTTCTTGTCATTAGACCCTGCACATACCACGACTGCACTGATTTCCTCGGTCGTCTTTGGGTACACAATCGCGTATGGCAGGTACTGAAGGTTGAGATTAAAGTATTTTGCGTGCTCAGTGATAAAGGTTGCCGAGCTAGGATAATGGGCACGAGTACCGTCGCCGCTCAAAGCAGACGTCAAACAGGAATCAAGAGTGCCCGTCGCCTTGGTTCCCAGGCCCTTTGGTAATGCTGCCACCAAAGAGGGCGCAGTAGCAAGCACTGCCAGCAAGAACTCCTTCACGGAGGTCATGGTGATATTCGGAATGTAAGGATTGTCGTAAAGAGCGTGTTCAAACTTCAGTGAATGAAAGACCGACTGTGTGGATGGCTGTGGAAGGGAATTAACGAGTGACGGAGGGAGAATCATGATGAGAGATAGACCGAGTATAAATACAAGATTTCGGTATCCAAGCAAGAATGTCACAGCATACGCAGCTTCTTGCACAGCCTGGGTGTTTGCCTGTTCGCCACAATCCAAATCTTACAATTTGCGCACGGTACTGAGGATCATGGATGAAGGCCTGCGATGATGAAATCCCCCCTTGCTGAAGTCGTTTTCATGCATTACGCATCATCAGCCGCCCCGTCCTGCCCCAGTGTTTGTGAGCTTAGTTCCGGACACCGCGGGATCCATGGGCGTCCGTGCAAGGTATATACGAGCCGCGGGACGCATGTATCCCGCCGTCTGGAATAACTTTAAATTAGTCTCTACCTTAATCAAGCAGTTAGAGAATTCGTCAGACGAAGAACCACATCGAATTGATTGCAGTCGGATCGGTCATTATGTCACGTTCAGAACAAGGCGACCGGCATCACATAACAACTCCTGAATCTCTCGAGAAAAGACACCGGAAGATACAAAGACTAAAGACGAACGGATTACATATTCAACATTCAATCCTCGCCTCTGCAGTGAATCTGCACCAGTTCCAAGAGGCAAACAGTGGAAATCTTTGCTTGAGTTCTAAGGATCTCATTGCTTGCTCATTTACATTGCATCACTACTCTCACTACACAATTCAGCGATGCTTCAGAGAAGTCAAGAATCAGAACTATTTCTGTAACTTCATCCCAAGAGCAGTTTGTCAATTCAGCCTGACTATTTAGTAAAGCTACATCTGGCCTTCCACCGACACGATCAACATCATTCCTATGGCGGCCATCGCTCCGTCCCGTGATCCCGAGTGTCCCTATACCTAAATATTTAAGTCATATACGGCGCCCAATCGCGCATGATACTGCGATGTGTCAGCGAGATGCAATGCTTGCGGTGAATGGCAGCCTACCTCTCCGTCCCAGTCTTATCGGAGGCAGCCGAGCAAAAGCCAAAGCCCCATCAAAAACGTTATTGGGCCGACAGTACTTCTATCTCAGTGGCTGTAGGAGAAGACGCAAGAGGCGAAGATGAATCCTCTGACTGGGTCTCAATAGCATCATCACCCTCGGCAGCAGGCTGTGACAGCATGTCCTCGTATGCCTCTGCGAGCTGCGCACAGGTAGCCCAGATGCGTCTGCGATTTGACGTTCCCATGTATTTTCCTTTCCGCTTGAATCTCGGCTTGGTTTTTGTCCATGCCCACAGATACACGGCCTTCATACTCGCCAACTTTTCCGCGTGGGCGGGAGAATCGAGAACTTCATGGAGCTCGAAGAACCACCCCATGGTGTTCCTGATTTTTCGGCTCCAGAATGGATCATTTCCATGGTAGGCGGAGTGGGTGTACCAAGATGCCTTGAACAGATTCAACAGGTCTTTGTGGCTAAGGCTAGAGACGATCTGATCAAGGATCTCGGCAGGAACTTTGGAAAATGGGTCCGAGGTGACCTTTCCAGCCAAACTCGAGTGTAGGGAAGCTAAACCCGAAGCCTGTTGCAATTTCACGATCTCTTCAGGTGACAGCGGCGCTCTTGTCAAGGGTGAGATGACATACAGCTCTTCCCCATTCTTCACTTCCCAAAATTGATCGTCGATGATTTCGTGATTGGTCATTGTGTCTGGCTCGTCGTAATCCAAGTCAAGACGATGGCCAAATTCTGAGGAAAGGGAGCGCATAGTGCTATACAAGGCATCCTTGTCAATGCACTCAGTATCTTCAGATCCGGTTACGTATCGACAGAACAGTTTGTAACAGTCCCAATGAAAGGGATAGACGACTTCGTCATCGTCTGCTACGTTGGCGGCAGAATAGCAGAAGAGATCACTCATATCCACACCCTCTGCGTTCGGATCGTCTCCGTTACTACAATCCATCCGTCCGTAGTCTGAATAGTGGCCTGCACCAGAGACGAATACTCTAATCACCTCAAGGTCAGTACATGGAGATTTTGCCTTTTGTCATGAGGTAGGGGCGAGGTTGGATGAGACGTACTTGCTGACGCCAGAAGCTTCGGCATTGAAACCAAGAACGCGGCAGTCTCCTGTCCAGTCGAGATCGGTGGATTGGACGATGCGTGGATCATATCCGTCATCGTCCTCATCCTCATCTTCATCCTCATCGCCATCCTCGGATCCGGCATTGGACACTCCATCATCGCCAACGTCCTCAGACTCTCCAGCACTCTTATCTTCATCTTCCTGATCTTCATCCTCGTCCTCATCTACATCTTCCCCATCTGCGCGGTCACGCTGAGCAGGTTTCCAAGGTACCCCGCGAGAAGTCCTGCGGACGGATTGGGCCTTCAATGGCCCGCTGCAGATGGCGCAGTAGCAATCCCAAGAACCCATCGTATTGTCCCTTTCACTGGAAAATGATTCTGTTGAGGGCTAACAAAAGTGGCAGAGGGAGAGATCAGGCAGATATGTACCTATTCATGCTCATGGAGCTAGGCACGTTTAGTTGTTCAGCTCCTGCACGCCTTTGCCACCATCTAGCCAATTTCGTCACCACTATTGGCTGGGCGCGGATCCAGATCAGCACTCGTAGTACAAAGCTGAAACATTGGTGAGCTGACTGCTAACATCTCGCATTCTCGCCGTCCATGCCACATAAGTAGGGAGTTCCATGCAGTGGTCTCTTTGATGCAAACGGTTGACCTTTCGTGAGTCTACTGCTCTAATTTCTGCCTGGAGACTATAGAATGGCCCCATTGATTGTACTCCAGTCATACACAAGCTAAATGCCTCCGTGATTGAGCCCCGCTGATGTGCTGAATTAGTTGGGAAGAGGAAAAGGTTGGGCATTCTTTGTCTTGGCAGTTGTAATTGAGCACAGATCAGGCTACCCTATAGTTCCTTCACCTGCATTCTGGAGATGACCTGGCCTTCAGCATCATGGCATTGGATTTTGTTACTGAAGATGGGAAAGTTCTCACTTATGCCTAAAGCTTCCATGACAGGAATTCAAAAAATGGAGATATTTCTTTATCTTAAGGATGAGACTACTGTCTGCATTCAAGTTGTAATCTCAAACTCGACGCTAGTCTTTCAAGATTGACGAGAAGGGTGAATACTGGAGACCAGTAGTATTAAATTCTACTTTATATATATATGTAATTGAAAATGGATATATATGCGAATTGATTCATAGAAATGCATATTCTAGGATGAGAAGTTGATTTGAAGGGTGAATATCGACGTCAGAAAGTTGCAAGAGCTAGGCTTGATTTCCAATGATATTGTGGGCGCGCCATCTCGCCTCTACGACTCCGTTCAAGTAGTTGAGGCTGAAGTGTCGCATCAAAGTTGTTGACGCCGCTTTTGGAACGTCTCCTTCAAGTACTTGGCTGAGTTCTTTGATGTACGTTTCTGAGTAGCGTAATCTACATGGACAATGCCAAAACGTGGGCCATATCCTGCAGACCATTCTGGGATATTCTTAGCATTTCGGGTAAATCAGAAACAAAGATGTGCGCAAGCCGTCAAGGATGTGCCTACCAAAGTTGTCCATAAGTGACCAGACGTAATATCCCTGAACAGGAATCCTATCCTCGTAGATCGCACGTGAGATAGCATCTAAATAGAGGCCAAAATATCTCTCGCGATATTCATCGTTGATCGCAACCTCGAGTTGTGACTCTCCTGGACAGGGACAGCCGTTCTCAGTGATAATTATTGGTAGTCGATACCGGTTCCATACCCAATTCATTAGTTTCCTGAAGCCCTCGGGGGCCATTCGAAGCCACTGGAAGGCTGAGACTGGACCAATTTCTATACCTTCGCTGTTTACTGACGATTCTTCAATGTTTCCCGTCCAGTCATCAGCCGCAGGAGGAGAAGGCAGAGCGCGAGCGTACTTGGTAGAATAATGGTTCATGCCATAGAAGGCATTTGAAGATGCGGTTTGTTGTAAGATTTCAAGCTCGTCAGGCGCAAACTGGGGAAGCCTGTTTCCCAAATAGTTCCGCATCGAGACCGGGTAGTCTTGGCCCAGGAATATTGGGTCTCCAAACCAACCGATGTAAAACTCAAGTCTCCTCTGGGCAGCGTCTATGTCGGCCTGAGAGTCAGAGTACGGCTCATAAAAGTGACCATTTAGAACGATAGAGATGGTTCCAGCTTGGGATGGCTGGAATTCTTCGGTGTAGAGCTTGACCACTGACGCATGTGAGAGAATCAGAGTATGACCAACACGCCATGGTTCGGTTTTTGTATTAGTTCCAACTTCTGCACAGTGGCCTGGGGCTAAGACGCCGCTATGATGACCAAATATAGAGATAATATACGGCTCATTGAAGGTGACCCATGTCTTCACGCGGTCGCCAAATCGTGTGAAACAGAGCCGAGCGTAATGTTCATAGTCAGCCTTGAACTCGGCTGTATTGAGAAAGGCCCCGTAGCGGTCGTATATCCCCTGAGGCGCATCCCAATGGTAGAGTGTGACAACTGGTTTGATCCTCTTAGACAGAAGCTGATCGATCAGACTATTGTAGAATGCCACGCCCTTTTCATTGATTGGGTCATTGCGGCCACCGAGAGGAATCAAACGGGACCAGGAGATTGAAAAACGATAGACATCAACCCAAAGAGAGCTCATGAGGTCCACATCTTCTGCCACCCTGTTGTAGTGGTCGCATGCGATGTCCCCATTCTCGCCGTTTGTCCGTGAAGGCTCAAGGTGGGTGAACGTATCCCATATTGATTTACCCTTGCCATCTTGAGAAACCGCTCCCTCAATTTGGTATGCCGCAGTCGCAGCTCCCCAAGAAAAGTCCTTTGGCAAAGGTAGGTTTTCGACGGGAAGATCATGGCCAGTTGATTGACTGAACTCTGTAACCAGATCGTCAGCCTGGAACATGGATGCCTCTTTTGACATGATGAGGGAGGTTTAGAATAGAGAGTCGGGAGGTAGCTTGGCGAGGGTAATTTCCGGGTCATGGATTGATTTGCTTACCAACAAGAACAAAGACATGTACTATTCATTTCTCTTTTATCCTTCCGAGAAGCCAAAGCTGTATCCGGGGCTGGATCCGGTGGGGATGCGTGGAAATGGGGACTCCCCACACAGAAAGTCCGCGGAGTAATTATTGATGGGCCTCGAATAAGCGCGAGTGTTGGGGGAAATCACCAATATCGGTCTATATCTGCCGACCTCGTAATGCCTTACGTACCTAAACTACACCAAGTCGACTCGTTGTCTAGCCGAATCTGCACTCACCAGCCAACGTGCAGCCAGTGAACATGGCCTCTGTGTTGGATGTTCAGTTCGAGCATTATCATGCCCCGAATACACTTGGCTTGCATGAAAAGGCTCCAAGAATATCATGGAAAATCAAATCTCCTGCCGGGTCAACTTTCGAACAAGACGGGTACGAAATAGAGTTGACAAGATATCACGGCAAATTCCAGCTCACTACCAGCGTTCAACGGGTTGAATCGCCCTTGTCTAAATGGACGCAGTGGCCATTCCCAGACTCGCTTGCTTCTCGAGAGAGAATCTCAGTGAGAGTGAGGGTTTGGGACCAAGAGCGTCAAACTACGCAATGGAGTTTGCCGGCACATTTGGAAATTGGCCTGCTCGAGCGAAAGGACTGGGTCTGCAAGCGAATTGCCGCACCATGGGGACCAGAGACTGTCGCGCCAGGTCCAGAGGAACTGTACCGACGTTGTTTCACCATCGAGGGAGATATCGACCAAGCTAGACTTTACATCACCGCTCAGGGAGTCTATGAAACCGAGATTAATGGCTCGCGAGTTGGAGACCATTTCATGGCACCTGGATGGACATCATATGATGGGAGGCTTCAGTATCAGACTTATGATGTGACTCTTTCCATAATCCCAGGAGACAACTGCATCGGCGTCCGCGTTGCGGAGGGATGGTTTTCGGGGCGGATTGGGTTTGAAGGCGGCCATCGCAATATTTGGGGCCCTCACAATGCGCTTCTTGCTCAACTTGAAATCCTGTACACAGATGGAAGGCGACAGAACATCGTTTCTGATGGGTCTTGGGTTGTATCCAAGGGGCCGATTCGACTGGCGCAGATATACGACGGAGAGACATACGACGCAACGCAAGAGATTCCCCTCTGGTCAAACCATACTATGCCCACAGACTCCCCAGGCTGGTCTCCGGTGCGCGTAATGTCCGAATTGCCTGGTACAATCGAGCTCACAGCCGGTTATGGAGAACCAGTTCGTCGCGCTGAGGTGGTCAAGGCTTCTCAGCATTTGACAAGTCCCTCGGGTAAGACGATCATTGACTTTGGGCAAAATCTAGTCGGATATGTTCGGTTGAAAAACATCCGAGGGCGCAGAGGCCAAAAGATCACACTTCGCCATGCGGAAGTACTGGAAAAAGGAGAACTCTCCATCCGGCCGCTGCGAATTTGCAAGGCGCTCGACGAGTATATCATAGGAAGTGACACTGAATTGGAGAGTTATGAGCCACGTTTTACATTCCACGGATTTCGATACGCCCAGATCGACAATTGGCCCGGGGAGTTCGAGCTAGATAACGTAGAAGCTGTGGTTTGCCACACTGATATGAAGCTAGTTGGCCAGTTTGAGTGCTCTGATAGTCTCCTAAACAAGCTTTATCAAAATATTGTCTGGGGCATGAGAGGAAACTTCTTATCAGTGCCCACAGACTGTCCTCAGCGCGATGAAAGGCTGGGATGGAGCGGGGACCTTGCCTTATTTGCCCCGACGGCATGTTTGATATACGACTGCTTCGGAATGCTGAAGAATTGGCTCATCGATGTCGAGTTCGACCAGCATGTACTTGGGGGCGTTCCCCCGATGGTCAGCCCCAACGCTACGTTGCCCGATCCAATATGGTGCAGGAGAGTCCCCTGCGCAATCTGGCATGATGTTACTGTCCTGGCGCCATGGGCGCTCTATCAAGAGACGGGGGATAAAACTATTCTTTCTCAACAATACAACAGCATGATGACTTGGATGAATGTCTTGCCTAAAGGGCGAGAAGAGATGAAGCATCTCTGGGATCCATCTGTCGTTCAACTTGGTGTAAGACTCTCCCAGTCCACAGATTCCGTTGAGAAACTTACTGACCTTTTCACCACATAGGACTGGCTCGACCCTGCAGCCCCTCCGGATGAACCATGGAAGGCCACAACCAATGCCAAGATGGTTGCCAACATGTTCTTAATCCAGAGTCTTGACTTGATGGTAAAGATATCTGGGATTTTAGAGAAATTGCTAGACCAGGAGCGTTTCAAAGCAGAAGCTGTAGCCGCACGGAGCGAGTTTCAAGACGAATATGTCACTAAGAATGGTCTGGTGGCTTCCGACTCCCAAGCAGCCTACGCACTTGCAATATGTTTTGATCTTCTCGGACCTGCCCAGAAGAAACGAGCAGCCACTCGGCTGGTCGAGCTTGTCCGGAAAAACAAGTTCAAGATCGCGACTGGCTTCGCTGGCACTCCCTATATTTGTGAGGCTCTTGCTTCTACGGGACATCTGCAAATTGCGTATTCCATGCTCTTGGAGAAAGAATGCCCTTCCTGGCTCTACCCTGTCACAATGGGCGCGACAACTGTGTGGGAGAGGTGGGATAGCATGCTTCCTGACGGGTCGATCAACCCGGGCGAGATGACTTCATTCAATCACTATGCCTTTGGGGCCATTGCCAAGTTCCTCTACGAGAGACTTGCTGGCCTACAGCGCATTGAGCCTGGATGGAAGAAATGTCGCATCGCACCTTCGATTGGGGCAAGATTCTCGAGCGCCTCTGCGTCTCATCTCACACCGAACGGGCGGTTGAGTGTCTCTTGGGAGACATCACCAATTGAAGGGAACACTACGGCAATCAGCATCCATGTAGAAGTGCCACCGAACACTACTGCTGAAGTAATTATTCCGTCCAAGGAGGGGGAAGGGAGGGAAGAGGTCAGTGCTGGATCATGGTCATTCACTTCGACGTTTGAGAGAGACTACGAGTGGCCTGTTTTGCCTTTGAAACCAAAGTCTTGAGGATTTCATGCACCACTTTCATATCTAGATTTCGAGTTAATTCCATAGATGCCTAGAACACACCGCTCTCTACCGCGGGGAAATTATTAAATTCAATAGCTCGTGGAAATCCCGCAACCCTGCTGGTGGGCCATTCATTTTAGCGGTGACATTGAATCAAGGAAACCTCCAATCCCTTCCCCTCCTGGAAATACTCCGCGGCAATGAAAGCGGGGTCCAATCTTGGGGTTGAGCGAGCCGTATCTCGGATTTCGCTCGCATTAAATGCGAAAGCGAGAGCTGCTGTGTCGGTCTCCAATTGTCCCAAGCAGCCTCATTAATCACTGAGTTCAGGGATGATTCTTCATCAGACTTAACAGCTTATTAACTATGGCGTACAACAGACATTATCTCGGCTCATGTTGACGAATTTAGGTAGACGAGTACTAGCTACGGTACATGTGCGTAAACTCTCCATCCACCTTCTTACCATCACTATCTTTGGATATTTCGAAATGCCCGGGGTCCGGGTGACAAACAAAGGTAGAATCGCTTCTGCCATTCAATTTGCTTCCTGCTTGACCAACCGCTCCGTAGCAGTTTCGGATTTCGAAAACTTCCAGGCCGGGAGCTTCTTCTCGAAGAGTTCGTCAAGTTCTGCTGCCGTGCGTCTGTTACATGTCAATGTTTGCTGTATCGTTGAAATAGGTTGAAGAAGCACTCACCCGGCTGTCTCTGGAACTAGATACCACATTCCGGCGGTGGCGATGAGCCCAAGCCCAGCGTAGAACCAGCCTGTTTTGAGGCTCCAGTTCCACTGGTTGGCGTTGACCATGTATGGTACAAGGACGTCCATGATGATGCCAACTACACAGGAAATGCCCATCGCAAACCCAGCTGTGTATGGTCGAAGACGGTTGGAGGAGATTTCCCCAAGGAAACCCGCACCCACGGCGCCTGTTGTAACCATACCGATATCTGAACGACATAGTTAGCAGTTTGCTCAAAACACTTCCCATCGCCATGTATTACGCACTCCAAAAGCAGGCGAAGAGCACAAAAACGTAGGTTCGAGCGCTAGTTTCGGGCACCACGCCAAGAATGCCAACAACAATACAAGAGATCCATGCGAGGGTTACGGCAGACGAAGCCAGGGGTCGGCGACCAAATTTATCCGCAATCATGACATTGACGAGGATGGTGGCGATCTGGATGGATGAAGTGATACACTTGACGGTAAACGGGTTTCCGACGCCTGCTTGCTGGAAGAAGTAGGTCCCGAAAGTCGAGAAGAGCTTGAGGCCGATGAATTGCTGGCCAAGGTAAGGCCAGACAGCGATCAAGGTACGTCGGCCGTCAATGCCTTGGAAAATAGCCCACCACTTCTCTCGTCGCTGTTCAGCAGCCACGGCCCTCTCGTGTTCGACAAGCATCGCCAAAATGTTGTATTGGTGAACTTCGTCGTATCCCGGGACATCTCTATGGATCCAGCGCAGGCTCTTCTTGGCGGCTTCTTCATGACCGTGAGTCGCGTACCACGCAGGTGTTTCGGGGATGATCAGAAAGATGATGGCCATAATGCCAATTTGCCCCCATTGTGTGTAGACGGGCGTGAGCCAGTTGTAGGGTGTGTTGGAGTTTATGTTGAACAGAGCAACCTGTGCGAAGAAGGAACCCGTTGTCCACCAGAAAGTGTAGAGCATCAGCAAGCCGCCGCGGATCTTGGTGGGAGCAACCTCGGAGATGTATGGCGGGATTGTAGCCTGTAGACTCCCTACGCCGATACCTGCAAGAAGCTTGGCTACCAGCCAGACTTGCCAAGTTCTTGCGAGCGACTCGGCCAGGACGCTGGCGACCAGCACAATCCACAACCAGTACATGGACACCTTTCTGCCGAACCGATTCGAGATGAAGGCAATGCTTATTGTACCAACCACTTGGCCAACTGACATGATCGAACCCCAGCCGCTCAATATGGGTGACTCGAGGTATGGCTGACCGCTGGCGTCGTGCTTGGTTGCGAATTGTCGGACGAAGCCCTTGTTGGCCACGATACTGGCGTTGATACTTGAAACAGAGTTAAGTCAGTCGTCCATCATCAAGCAACAGGAGAAGAAAGTGAATTAGCATACCCAATCTGGTATCCGTCATTGCCTGCGCTAAAGGCGACGGCGAAGCAAATTAGTGTCGCTATCTTGAAGGTCTTGACGGTTTGCCAGAGCGTGAGATGCTCGTATCCGGACGCCGCTTGACCTTTGGTGGCAGCATCAATGACGACCTCGGTGGGCTTGAGTTCATCTTCGATATGATGCTCAACATGCTGCGCATCGTGAGCTGACTTCTCAGCCCCTTGGGCTGTCTCTTTGCTTGATGCCATGGCCTCTGGTGGATGATAGATGAAGATGGTAAGTTCCCTGGAGATCATGCAGGGGCCGCAGTCTTTATAGAGGCTGGAGCTCGCTCTTCAATAGCCCGAGAAGAAGGAGACAGTGATGGTGAGAATAGTCAAACAACCCACTGGGTCGGGGCTCAAGGCTCGGTGTATGCTCGTGTCAAGTTCCAACGTGGTCTGGCCAGGCAAACCTTGCAGAATGACTTGACAAGCACATGTGACTGGCTCTAGCTGCCCATGGGGTATTACCCCATCTCTCAAACGATACCCCAGATCAGCTCATGTCGGGGCAAACTAGTTGCAATAATCTGATGTATTGAAGAGGCCTTTTCACTGGCAATGCTCAGTTTATCCTCGTGAGCGGGGGTTAATTCCGCCGCGGCTCTAACTCTTGGTGTATTCCAACAAATGGACTGACTCGCTTCGCCCGGAAGTAGCCGGCCGTGGGTGCTTCTTCAAACGCTTACCCCCATGGGGATTCATTGTGGCACTCCGTTCCACTCTCGTGACCATTCTGGACAAGAAATATCGCCGCGGGTAAATTCTTATGCCCATAGTTTCCCCGCCAGCTGGTCTATGAAGAAGGGGTGAGTACTCCGCGGCAAATTATATCCTCTCCACCTCCTCTCATCTCATCTCCTCGCCACGGTGAAAATGGCTACAGATACCACGACGGTGCTTCGTAAGCGAGCCTGTGACCGGTGCAGAGAAAGGAAGATCAAGGCAAGGTAGGTAGAGACTGAGCTTTTACCCCTGCTTCCTCACATAGGCTCTCGAGTTGTGTAACAGAGTGAGTTAACAGAACAAGTAATTTGCGAGTTACTCTAGGCCAAGCACTACGAAAGTTGCTAATCAACGGCCGCGCTGAGCCAGTGTGACTCAACTGACCCATGTTCATACTGTCGAATGTCCTCCCAGAAATGCTCGTACGACATACCGGTACGTAGAAGAGGTCCAAAGGGCCCAAGGCCAGGCATCAGAAGTCAACCCACAGAGCAAAGAGAATGCGTCAGCAGTCCTGTGCCGTCGCCTTGTCCTCAGCTGGATCAGTCCATTTCAACGCCATCTATTACTGCCGAGACCCGGGAATCCCCTCTCAGCAAGCTACATCGAGGTTTGGTGACGGGTCTTGTCTCAGTGTTTCCCAACACAACTGTTTTGCAGCTGGTCAACGATTGCCTTTCTCTGTTTTTTCAACGATCGTTCCCAAATCTTCCAATCTGTCATGAGCCAAGTCTACGCTCCTATGCCCAAGACTTCTTCAAGGATGAGTTACCCAGTGATCACATCCTTCTCAATAATGCGTCCGTGTCTGTTCTGAGGTCATTCTCACTGTTGACCGCCGTATGTGGAACCATGGCATTCATCCACGGAGAGACTTTAGTCCTTCGGGGTGCTGTCATGGGGCCTCTTTTTCTCCGCGCGTCTCGGGATACGCTCCGTGAGTACGAAGACTATGACTTGGGCCATCCCAACTCAAGTTCACTACAGATTAGGATGTTCCAAGCTACATGCATCCAACAGCACACCTGTGACAAAGGTTTGGCATCACAAGTGGTAGGGCAGGCGAGCATGCTTGCCCACGCCATGCGCCTCCACAGCGAACATGTCCTCAACCAGTACGAACCTTTGGAGTCGACTTTACTTCGCAACTGTTTTTGGACTCTGGTTATGTCTGATAGCTCTGCCATATGTCTGAAAAACAGGCCTGCAGTACTCTTCGACTCCTTGTTTGACACTGAGCTGGACACTAAGGAGTTTGGCTTAAATCAGGTACCACTTCTAGCTGATAACCCAGGGTACGCTGATAATGAGTTTGAAAAATCTCTGCTAGATGGGTTTCATCTCTTTCGGCGCACCTTCTCTATGGCGGCTCACCTAATTGTCGCCATCCGGACACATCATCGCATGAAATCAAGAAACAAGCAAGCACCACTCGATGACCAACTGGAACTGAGTAGATTGAGTACCATGTATTCCGAATTCGTTTCAGTTCTTGACGATATGCCACCCTCACTTCAATCCTCTGTCATATTACTGCGGGACAACGAGTCTCCCACTGAATATCAACCCATCTCTTTTACGACACAGAGATATCGCATCCAAACGATGTTCTACTGCGCCAAGCTCTTGGTTGTTCACGAATGTATTCGGTTTGAATTACCTTCCATCATCGGACTTCATAATGAGCGTTCAGCCTCGACAAGAGAGGAGTTGAACATCGCACGAGACTTCGTCCATACTCTTCAGAGTGTCCCCTTCCATTACCTGCGAGGAAATGGAGAGCCTGGCGTATGTAATATTTCTCAAACATCACGATCGAAACGACATGGCTTGAGTGTCTGACTATGATTATAGATAGAACTTATCAGGGCCGTGGGGAGCGTCCTGTTAGAGATCTCACAAAATTCCAATGATGAGTCTCATCAACAGCGTGGTCATACGCTTCTCAATATCACCCTTAATATCTTAGCAAAGCTCAATTCCCAGGCCTCGGACAAGCTCATCGAGCAGCTTTCGAATGCTTCGGTGGCCAGCTTCCCCAGTAACTTGAGCCCGGATTGAGCACCAACTGTGTCTGTAGGAATTGTTTAGTCACACCGTGCTTGAATGGAATAATTTCCCACAGAATTGAATCACAGGGAAAAATACACGTAACTACAGGTACCTATCAATTTTATATGTGATAGATAGCCAAATAATTATAAAACTCGGACCGACATTGCATAAATCAACAAGCTTATCATACCAAGAATTCTCCTCACCTCTCATGACGCCATCATGTCTAGCTAGTTAAACGAAGGGAATTCGGGTACAAAGTTAGACAACCATAGTAGATGCCAGGCCCGCAGAATGAGTCTAACGGATATAGGCATTGATTCTCAGGGTCAACAATCACATATGCGGGGATGCCAGAATTACCTTCAACTCTCTCGCTAATATCACATGTTTACTTCTTACAACAACTACCTCGTAACTTCCAACGGTCTTGGCCGTGATTGGTGCGAAATCATATTGGTGCCTAGGCACTTATAAGAGTGGCATCTGCACGTGTGACGCCCAGAACAAGGCCAAACCAGTGCGGAACGAATCCTGCCGAGGATCAATCGAAGTCTCATCGGTTGAAGGGAGAAAACATGGCCTGACTTGCTATACAGTTCCGGCAAGTTAGGATGTCCCGTCAGAGTAAGTCAACATGTGATAGAATGTCATCTGGGGTCACCGATCTTTGACATGATAATAGCCTGAAACTTATCACAATTCAGCTCTTTTAAATTATTCGGGTGAGAGAGTTTGAGTGGCTAGACTCACGCAGTAACATAGAGTAATAGAAGACGGACCCAACAGTTCAATACAACGAATCCTCTAAATGACAATATCCAATTTGGCTGTCCTTGATCAACTTCGAATGGATGACTTGATCCTGAGGCTGCCCCAAAACTCTTCCTCTTCTGAGCAATTCTGGAGGGCATAATCCGGAATGGTTTTTGCCGTGCTCAAGGGTCTATCAGTGATCGTCTGGAGGCATGTTGTAAGCCATCATGCCTCGGCTGTTCCTGACGAGATTTCCTCGTGAAGTGACCCTAAATGGAAAGTTTCGTAGATTTATCAACAGAAGGTTTCATCCATCTGTGCGAACCCCGCAATCTTTATATTGACGATCTGAGGATGGACGAAGGAGACCCCTGCACTAGGTTAGATCGATGGCAAGCAACAACTCCACCGTTGTCAGCCCTTTCTCGTTTTCGCATTGATTAATGGTGTATTGTCCTTTGAAACATGTCGTTTTCGTATTATGACAGGGTTTGTTCGTCGCACGCCAACAAAACGGCGGAGCGTTTTCAGTATTTCACCATGTAACACCAATTTAAATTGCATTTCTATGCAGATCTTCAGAAAAAGATAAATAGCCTCATGGAATCGCCTCAGCAATATTAACAACGCGACAATCCAATTCTTCTGCAACGCAAGGCACAAGCAGTCAAGATGGGTCGCAAATTCCTGAGTTTCGTCTCTAACCTAGCGGTTCTTGGTTACTTTGGCCAGCACGCGTCGGCTGCACCAAGTTCGTCCACGAACCAAGCCTGCGCAGAGCTTTCGTCAACGCTTGTTGGGAGAACTTCATTTCCGCTCAGCCTTTCCTATCATTCTGAAACTACGGCTTACTGGTCAACTGTTCTTCGTGAACTGAAGCCAGCATGTGTTGTTCTCCCAGAGACGGCTGAAGAGGTTTCCAAGGCAGTCACTATCCTCAACAAATATCCCGATGTGAAGTTCACTGCGAAAAGCGGTGGACACGATCCCAATGCCGGCCATGCTACCGTCCAGGATGGAGTCCTGATCTCACTTGAGAAAATGTCAGGGGCAACATATGACTCAGCAACAAATCTCGCATCCGTCAAACCCGGCGGTGAGTGGAACGATGTGATCTCCAGTCTGAATGAGCACGGAGTCACTGCTGTCGGAGGTCGGCTTGGTGAGTTATCTATGTCATTGTATGTCACTGAGAAACTCTAAATCTGAACATATTCAGGCATCGTTGGTGTTGGTGGCTTCCTTGTACAGGGCGGGATCTCATTTCTTAGCGCCCAACATGGGCTAGCTGCAGATGTAAGTCATTTGTCTTGAAGACCTGAGAAATAAATATTGACAAAATTGTAAAGAATATTGTGGGCTGGGAAATAGTGAGTGCGGATGGCACCATTATTAACGTTGATGCAAACAGCCAGCCTGAACTTGCCACAGCTCTGCGTGGAAGCGGTAGCCAGTTTGGTAAGTCACAAGCAACTATATGATCCATTACTTTACTTATCATGGAAAACAGGTATTGTCACGAAATTTACCGTCAAAGCTCATCCCATTGGGAAGGTTTGGGGAGGGATACGCATCTATGATGCATCCCAGACAGACAAGATCTTCAAGACCCTCCATGATTTTGTGCCTAACAGCAACAAAGACACCAAGGCTGCAATTATTGTGACAAACCTATCAGCCGTGGCTAGTTTGAATGCTTTCTTGATCTTCTATTTCTATGATGGAGAATCCCCGCCTACAGAGGGCCCCTTTGCCGACTTTCTCACAATCCCTTCTCTAATCTCCATCACTAAAACTCAATCCTATCCCGAATTGGCAAGTACCACAAGCATGTATGCGTTGAGAATTAGTTCTAATGGTTTTTCCAGCTCAAATCTAACGGAGTGGGCGCATCTCTGATAAATTCTCGAATCTCCTTTAGAGTATGCTTTCCATTAAGAAACGAACGCTCCTGTTTTGTAAACTGAGTGCTAACCGGAATAGACTCTTACGATACCTTACGTTTCAGAGTATCCGGCAATGTACTCTGAGATATCCAAAAAGATGACCGAGCTTTCCGCAGACTATTTCAACAATCCTCTGCACCTCCTGTCCCAATGCTCGGTTGATTTCCAGCCACTTCCGTCTGCTGTAGGACAGAACTCGGAGAAGAATGGGGGAAATGCGATGGGGTTGACGGCCAGTGACCCAGACAGAGTGTTACTCGAGTTTCAGTGTGCCTGGGGTTCCAAGGATGATGATGCTACTTTGGTTTCCATTACCAAAGACCTCACTGCTTGGATCGAGGGGAGAATTCCCATATGGCTAGAGGCGGGGTCACAGGCCAAGGATGCTTATCTTCCACTGTTTATGAACGACGCCATGGCTGATCAGAACGTCACTGGGAGTTACAGAGACTATGCAAAGTTCAAGGCACTTCAGCAGCAGTACGACCCAATCGGCACATTGAGAGAAAGGACTGGAGGTTTCAAGTACTGAGAAGCAATGAGCATTCATGCCCCTGTGCCCATTGGCTAAGGGTGGGTTTAGGATGAACTTTTGCCGCTCTAACCAACCGCAACAACAAGATAGTAGCCAGTCTCAATCCAATTGCCTAACACTAGCAATGAGTCAACGATAGATGCATGATTACGTTACTATACCCACAAATTTCTATTCTCTGCCGGGACTAGGCATCAACTTACATGGTGACGCTCCGAGCTGCATGCAGTTTTCAGCTCCTCCAACTCTACTAATTCAAGTTAGGCTCATGGACTTCCTGATGCCCTCTGCTGACTCTGGGGCTCACGCATCGATATTGTCTAGACAAGCGACTCCTCATGAGTGATTTACATTTATATCTATAAATATAAGTGGTTATCGCTGCCTCCAGGTACAGGTCCCTCTGAATTTCCAACATCCCCTTCACTCGAAAACCCTACTTTCATCTCTTCAGTTGTAAATCACTCGGCCAAAATGCGTTCATCCTGGGTCGTCGGTCTCACAAATCTCATCGCGCCTTTGGCACTTGCAGCCCCCAGCACTCCTCCCGAGCTGGAGGTTCGGGCTTGTATTCCCCAGGGCGGTAAGTCGAGCGCTTCATCTACTCTGTTGTGAAATTGAAGGTAGCTGACCTGACCTTCAGCCCAATGTGTTTTTCCAGGCCCTCCAGGCCAATGCTGCGATAATGTGCCTTGCCTCTGGTATCCTAGTGGACAGAAGGCGTGCGCTATTCGTTCATAAGTAGTAGCAGCAGCAAGTCATTTGGGCATCGAGAATCGGATGCTAGGCAATTGAAACCAGCTGAGGTGGGCGGTCCGGAGGAAATAGATCACGTCTCTGAGTGTAGACTGAACAGTTTCACATGCGTCGCCCCTGGAAATCAATCGCCCTATGATATTGACTCATCATAGCCTGCACAGAATAGGACAAGATGTCGGTGACTCAGGGGAAGTTTCATATCTGAAAAGGCTCTAGCTTGATATGAGGATGTCTGCATAAGTGGGAGGAAATTAGCCGAGACCAAGTGCCTGCACGGTCATAATAGTCAAAATATTTACCACCACTAATGTCAGGTCCTTCTTTTTCTGTTCAAGTAAAAGACCATATTACGTTTATCAAGCCAACCTGGTCATCCGTGATGAAGCCATACCAATACTGGTGAAGCGGCATGGGCCTGACTTCTTATCAGATGATCAGATAATAATCCAGGGGCTGAGAATTTGCTTTTCTTGCAGCTGCAAGTTTGTGCGCTAAACTCTTTGAAAGCAACTAAAGAAGCCACAATGCAGTGTTTTCCAAATCAGGTTTGTTCTAGATCAATCCAGAGTCCAGGGTGCCAGTGAGCAAATCTACCATGAGACCTCGCGTAGTCTTACTCAATGCCCGTGTCTGTTGTCTTGGCTTCCTGCTGCTGGCCTCAGTAGCTTCAAGCTGGCTTTATAGTTGTGGCAATGTCTGTAGTGGTCTCAATATATCTTTCCTAGTCTCATAAATCCTTCCAGAAACATCGAGCGCAAGCGTTATCACTCGTCTCACGTTGTTAAAGGTGGACGCGGTTTAGTTTAGAATTGGAAGCACTGAGTCACTGTCTCTCACGGACCAGGGCAGGTGGATATTGCTTTCCTAATATATTGTCGTAGCTACTACTGTTTAGAGAGAAAAAAACTCCGAACATTAAATTTTTAGACTGACCAGGCGGTTGTTGCATTAGGCGCCTCGACGCTGGTGACGGAATCAAAGCAGCCCGCAGCGATGAAACATCGCGACTACAAACAATTCCACTCAAGGAGATTGTTAAATCTTCACTTCAGTTCATACTTAAAAAAAAAACAAAGAAAGGGGAAGAAGAAGAAGAAGTTCCATGTTGTATGATCCCGCCTCTCCATTTGTCAGACTGTTTGATAATCGACGAGTGGAAATCCGGACATCTCGGACAACTCCCTGGCGAGTTCCGGAGAAGTGGGAGAAGTAGCCGCTTGTTGATAGAAAAGATTACAAACCCAAATTCCAAATCCAAACATCCAGGTATAAATATCAGGAGTGCCAGAGGAAAGGTTATAGTTGCCTATCTTACCTTTTCTAACCAATCCCTACAGTCTTTCCAGTCGTTTCCCAACACCTCCTTTACCACACCAACGTCAACAAAATAAGCAGAGGATGCACTTCTTAAAGGTTGTAGTAGCCTTGCTACTTCCACAACTAGGATTGAGTCTGGCTACGCCCAAACCGGGGAATGAAACTGCCGGGTATATTCCAGGGACCTCCAGTCATCATGCCAAGGTCAGAGGCCAAACCTATCATTATCTTCTCGCCGAGCCTACCTCTCCCCCAAAAGGCACCATCTTTCTATTGCATGGGATACCAGATCTTTCTTATGGTTGGCGCTATCAGATCCCTCCTCTTGCGAAGCTTGGCTATCGTGTGGTTGCTCCGGACATGTTGGGCTACGCAGGTACCGATTCCCCTTGCTCCGTCACTCACTGGGCTCGCAAGGAACTTGCGGCCGACATGGCCGACCTCATTGGACAGCTTGTGCCCAGAGGGCAGCAAGTCATCGTCGGTGGCCATGACTGGGGTGCCGGCCTGACCTACAAAGTTGCTCTCTGGCACCCCGAGCTTGTCAAAGCATTCTTCACCATCGCCATTCCTTACATCCCTCTTTGGTTGGGCCCAACAAAGGAGTGGGTGGATATGTTGGACCTCGTGGAAAATGGTACCTTCCCAACAATGGGATACCAACTACAATTCCGTGACGAAGCCTTGGAACGTAACGTTACAAGCCTGGCCCAGATCCGGTCATTCCTCAATGGCGTCTATGGTGGCACTACATCGGACGGAAAGGGCGCCTTCTCTCCTCAGAATGGGGTTGACTTCGATATTCTTGATCAGTTGGGCCCAAGCCCATTGGTTTCTAGTGAAGACATAGACTTTTACGCCAACAGGTTTCACGTCAATGGCATGCGGGGCCCCTTCAACTGGTACCGGACCAGGAGGATGGATTGGGAGGACGAGCTGCCGTTCCTCAAGAATGGCTCCATCAAGTACAAGATGCCCGTTCTCTTCATGCCGGCGACAAAGGAGCCAGACACTATGCCACCGGATATTTGGACCGACATGGGCGATTATTTTGAGTCCTTGAAGATTCAAGAATTGGACTCAAATCACTTCGCGCACTGGGAGGCTGCCGACAAAGTCAATGAAGCCCTGGCAACTTGGCTCCCAACGTTGCAATAGGCAGATATTATCATTGGGGGTTTCCTAGAATTCGTATACCCTAGTAGGTGATGGTGGAGATTCATAAATTGCATTCTAGACAGTCTTCTTTATATAGCAAATTCTGGTAATTAAACCCATGCCTACAACTAGTCGCTTATCGACTAGTTAAGGTACATACTCATATAAACTTTAGAAGAATTATATTCTCAGCTCTTTCTTGAATTAATAAACGGGGATTAAAGGTAATGGCTCCATTCCATCACGTCTGTCGTTGTCAAGGATCCCACATCTTGAAAATAAAGGCCGACTGAAGCTCAGTTTCAGGAAGAGATCCACACGGTTCAAAAATGAGCGTTTGAAATGTTTTAGGAGCAAGAGCGGAGCCAAAGGGCATTATGCTGTCTTGTGTGTCTTGTGTCTTATTCTTCGTAGCACCAACGGCGGCATCAGCTCGTCTATTCAACTCACGGCAGGCTCTGGACACTGCTTTCAGTGACGGAGCAGCAATAACCTCGTACTTGGCTTCCATGTATTCAATACCTTCCATAATCAGGGCTTCGTCCAGCTCTGGCTGGCCCGCTACGTGGACCTCGGGAAGCACAAGCTTGTTGGCGACCACGATGAGTAGGGCAGAGCAATACGCGCAACAGAGATTTCCCAAAAGTCCGTTGTAGAATTTCGGCACTCTCCTAAATAGCAGCATGATTGTTCTGGCAGACTCCACGAGGTCTTTCCAGTGATTTGGCAGAGGACTTTGAGCTGGTTTGTCTGCAGTTTGGCCATCGGCGGACCACTTGACGCTGTAGTCAATGAGCCCGCTGATCCATTCCGTATGATGCGAGAAAACCTTTTCGATGCCGCATATGGTACGAAATCTTGTAATGTAAAGCGAGATGAATGCTTGTTCCGCAGGACTATCGAGATGCTCCAAATTGTTCGGGTGGTATGGCTGCGGAATCGTCATCATCCATTCGTTGAGCATCGTCCATAGCAATTCGCGTTTCTCCCATTTCTGGTAGTCGACAAGCCGCTCTGCCTTGACCGAATTGATCCAGTCATGCGTTTTCCCTTGAATGAATGCAAGGTCAGCTCGGCATCGAAAATAATTGAATTCCCCCGCATCTATCGGTAAGTCCACATCACACGTAAACTCGTCTCTGATGACCTGTTCTAGAGGGTCGACATCGAAATCGTGATCTTGGAGAATGTATGGGTCGCGGACTCTCATGCTGACATCCCTATCCAAGATATAAGCTGCCCAGAAGAGTCTTTTTCTCTCTAGTATATCCTTTGGGGCCAGATCAAGGCCATGTTGTGTCATGTGAAGTCTCAGACGGAAGGCTAGCTTAATCGTGGAGGCAACGAGCACCTGCGCTGGACCTCTATCCATAGATTTCTGGAAGTATACAACCAATCCCAGAAGGACTTGAATCCCATGACAGTCACTGACTCGCATGACTAGTTTATCAAGAATCGACTGGGCGTTGGCCGCATAAAAGGTAGAGTCTTCGAGGGTAGTAAAGGCCGGGTGTGTCAGGGGTTTGTACTGTAGGCCAAGGGCAATAATGATATTGATCACAGCCCAAGTAGACTCGTCCCGAGAATTTGGGCAGGTGAGGTACCAGTCATGCAACATTCCCATGGCCCTTGCATAATCAAAGATTGGGAAGAACTTATTGAAATTGGCGAAGAAGAAATCGAATAGTTGCTCAACATCCTCCAATGGAGGCAGGGGATATCTTTCCCCCGCCTGGATCTCCATCCTTAGGCATTCATCATCC